CCTTCAAAGCTCATAAAAATTGTGATAAACGAACTTATTCCTATACTTTACCGTCTTATGCATTCGCCAGAGCAGATGAGGTGCTACACTGTTTTTCGCATCATATATTCGAGTCCTCTTTCAAATAGATTACGAAGCAACATCTTTGAAAAAGGTCTTTTGAAAAAAGATCATTTAAAATCAAGAAACCATTACTTTTGTTGAAGTATTGCATTTAATTCCAGTTGACAAACAGTGCTTTCCGCATAAGCGAAACGTCTGTTACTGAATTGAATGACTTGCTTGCATTGTACAAAGGGACGCACAATTTTTTCAATTATACTTCCGGAAGGCGAGTTTTTAATTCAGCAGTCAATCAATATTCTACTAGGTATTTTATAATTTTTCTAATACGACTATGTTCTAGGCAAAGGTACGGAGTAATAGCATTCTAAAATATGTTCATAGTTGCAAAAAGTAATTTTGTTTAATTCAGTTGCCAGTTGGTTGTCAGTAGTAGTCTGGTCGCAACAAACTATAATGCTACAACATTACTATTTTTTATCTGATGCATCCAGTCTGAGCTTGCAAAACTTACTGCTCTGGGAAATTTTATAAGGATGAATTCGTATAAAGCATCTCAGTATACGTAAAAAATTAGCCTTAAGCCTTAGCACAAGTCATTTTTACTCTCTCCTACACCAAATTCAAATCTCAGTTCAAAAAACGGGCGTTTGTGGCAATTCCAACTATCGTGTTCATCTTTTCAATGAACATTAAACATTTTTTCCCAATCATCTACATTGTTGGAATAGGATTTTGCTGACTAATTCACAAGTAGAAACATAGAAGCGTCATAAGTTTTAGTTATTTTGATTGATATTGTAAGAAACCTCATTTCAGAATTATAAGACGGATGATATGCATTCTCTTTCTGGATTGTGTACATGCTAAATGATTGATGGGGAACCATCTTCAACAACAAAAAATTTAAAATGCTGTGATAGGCTTAGGGAGGTAGAATTTTTCTGTAATATCCAGCTATGGTAACTTTGTTATTCCTTCAAAAACTGGTATAAAGAAACTGAAGTGAATATTCAGTGATTTCCTTTCTGTCATAGTAAGTTTTCATACCGAGCCTTCAATGTTGTTAGTGTTTATAAACTGAAGGCTAAATTCCTTTTATTAAGTTGGAGGGATTTTATTTCAATATCCACCGAAAGTGAGTGTTCATGGGAAATGTTCTTTGGACCTTCGAGTTATTTTCTCGAGTAGAAAATAAATTTCATAGTTTTTCAAATATTGTTATTTCGATTAAAACAAAGAAACAATTGAAAAGGCTAAAAGATATCCTTAAAAGTTTGACGAAGACTTATGCTTAAAAATAACATTTGAAAATATTATATTAGTACAGCAATATTTAGAACAAAAGTCGATATAAGTCATATGACATTTTAGAAGAATTAGCTATATTTTGCTATAAATGCTTACTAGAAAGCTTTAGTGGTAAATGAGCGCATTTGTTTAGGTGCTTCTATCAGTTCTGAGCTATTAACTGCATGGTTTACATAGTAAAAAAAAAGTAATACTGAGCTAAATTTGTGCAAAAATTGCTATAATTTCTTGCAACATCGGTTTTAGAATTAGGATGGAAAATCCTATTTTTTTCAGAAATTCCCCTTCCAGTTTTCTTCTTGTTTTTTATAGCACAGAATTGCAAGCATAAAAATTGCACTAAATGTTGACTTAGGATTTCATGAGCTACATTTACATCCAAAATTAGACTATGTTTGCTTCGAAAGATTTGATGGGAAAATATGTCCTTAAAATGTAAAAAATAAAAGGGTTACCAGAATAAAAAAGATGGCGGATTTACCACAAATATGAAAAGGTATGTGTTGACAACATCGGTAAAAATCGGGAAAACATTAGGATTAATTGCTGAGATTGCTGAGGAGAATAAAGGTTTTTGTGAATCAAAAAGTTCTTTATTCTTTTAGATTATTATTTCCTTGATATGTTAATATTATTTCAAGGGATGCAAGATTTAGCAGACATGAACCTCGTGATATGGTATGTAGAATTTCAGTGATCCTATAAAACCTTCAATTTTTCTGATCTATGTAAGAGTATTTCTAGAACTTACGAAGATCGAAGCAACATGCGATATATACATGATTTCAAATGTGGTCCAACACAACTTGTTGAAGATAAGGTCCGGGGTGGTATGGTTGAATTTATCAGTCTTTATGTCACGGGACAAAGTTTTATGTTGCATCAGATTCGGAAAATGATCGGTACTTTCTGTTTTGTGATTTATGAATTTTTGGCTCTATGAGACGAACAATTTTTCAACATGTTCTAGAATATAATTTATAATTTTCTTTGTGAATTTCAGGGATGACGGTGGCAACTTTCAGGGGATTATGTGGCAAAACTGAATTGGAAAATACATTTCGGAGTGAGCGAGTATGTTTTTTCTCACCATCTGAATGCAAATGGAAAACAAGAAAATTTTGAAGTAATGATCGTAACGATAGAGTTTGTCCACAGATGAAATTCATATGATTAAATTAGTTTTTAGATCATACATCTTGTTCAAACCTGATGTCATATTTTATCTGTCATAGGGGTTTCAGTAGAAAATATCACTGAATTGATAATTTCAAAATTCCCTTGTCTTCATTTGCGATCATAAAAACTTTATCAAAATAGAAACGCTCAAGTATCGTACCTAAAATATGATGGAATGTTTGACTCACGAGTGGAAGAAAGAGTTTGTAGAAAGAACACTTCAGCCAATATTTTCTAAAAACAAAACTAAGATAGCCACAGAGTTAAAGACTTTGAGCTTTATGTTTTTTTTTTCTTATGGATCAAATTATTTGCTTAGATGGATGTGCCAAAGGCACCCGGTCTGGGTTTGGTGTTAGACAAAGTACACTACGAACGATATGACAGATGGTACGAGAAAACACACCAGAAGTTGAATAATTGGGGTGACGAAATTGAAGCTAGGGCTGACGAATTCCGCAAACTTTACATAATTGCGGAAATTTATCGTCAGGAGCTTGCCACTCATTCGTTAGTTTTTGTATTTTTTTTTTTTCAACGGAAATAGTTTTCCGCACCAAGTTATCATCTCAGGATTTGTAAGTGAGTGCTCCTTTAGATTTATTGCCTGTTAGACTTATTGACTTATTGCCTGTTATGCAGATTTGCCCTGCATGTGATTGTTGGTAATCTCGCGGCATAACATAACACCATAATAATGTTTGAACCATCCACGCCATTTTCAGTTCATTCTGCCCAGATGCATTGTTTTTCAAGTTTTTATAGTCCCGGCATTTTTGAAAAATCTTTAAAAAATGCATGGGAATGAAATTTTAAAAATCATTTAGATGCGGAATTATGACACAGTTGAGTCTTTATTGACTTCGAAAATTTGCATCCCAACATTTCAGGATGTTCCTATGGTTAACCACCTTACTAAGACATGATATAATGATACCCGGAATCACAAGGGAATCGAGGGAAAGATCACCATTGGGACTAGCTTCCGATCGTGCATATGTTAGTTTATTATTTTAATGAAGCGTTAGATGAGGTGACATAGTTGGGTGCTAAAAATTTTTTGTCTTCCACAAATATTTTTTGATATAAATCATTTTAACTCTGCTTCCAATTCACATCACAGTAGATAACCTACCTATCGGTTGGAAATTAACAAAAAACATATTTGGAAAATTTTGGGAAAACACAGTAAAAAAAAGTACAGATTGGGAACACAGCTTAATAAGAGATTGAGGTTTATCAATTAAAGCCATAAAATGCATTGGAAGTGTCTTTTTTATTCATTACATCTTTTATTTTCAGCTTGCAAATGAGGAATTAAAAGAAATGAAAAAGGAGAAAGAAAATCAGATCTTCGTTGAATCAAACGAAGAGCGGCGAGATCATCTAGCAGAACTTATAAAGAAGGATTCGAATTCACAATCAGGAGAAAATTCAGAAGGAAGTCACACAGACACTATAGTTGTTATGGGCACTTCTCCGAGAAGAGTGTTGGACAGTGGGGAGTCCTGATATTTCTACTACATCTTACCTCTGAGGTGTGGGTCAAGAACTTACCATTGCTCCAGGAAAACAATGAATTTCATCTATGGTTGTTTCGAAAGAACTTTTTGTTGAATGCTTTTATTAAGAAAATTTAGAGGATGGTACAAGGAAAATTTAATGGGCTCTTTTAACTTCAGTTGATTAAAGAAATCTAAATGTCCACTTCATAGACGCATTTGAATTCTTTCCTAAGATACAAAAATACTGCGACTTTTTCTAGAATGTTGTTTCGTTTTAATGTTATCTTAGAAGACGCCACCCACAGCACTCCTACTGAGTGTGTTGTCTGAAAAATTGATTGAATTCGATTACTTAGCTGTTCATTTCCAAAACATTTTTCAAAAATAGTTTATTTTATCTTGTTTCCACTGTTGAATGATTAGATGTTGATGGCGAATAAAACTGTTTTTCTGCTGGATTATATCTTAGCATTCGACGAGCTTCAAATATTGTTACTTACGAATCATTCTGACAATAATTACTGTTACAATTTCAACCAATTACACCTCAGAGTAATATTGGGCCTGTTTACGAGTAACTTGCGCGGATCAGAACTTATTTGCATGCCTTAAATGCTTTAGAGGTCGTCGGTAGACGTTCCAACATCTGGAAATAGTAAATAAAAGACGCATTATGCGAACATGTTGATGGGAAGTAGGGCTGATTCGATAGTTTCGCAATTGAAGTTGACCTATTACCGTCTCATCATCGCGTCTTCAATGAACGGCTAAGAGATTATTTAGTTAAGCTGATTTGGAAACTAATTGTCTGTACTTTAGCCTATGAAGTTTGGTTAAGCGTTTCGAAGCAATTGAGAGCTACCTGGTGATAACAGCACCTTCTTAATGCTCCCTCCTTATGCCGCTTATGAAATGCAAATGTAGAAGTCCATTAGTTCGCACTCACTGTCCATCACCAATCTCGTTTTCTTCACTAATGATAGTGTTTTTTAGGGAATGAATACAACAGGAATAATGTTTCCAAAGGTTTCATATCTACTATACAGTCGTAACGAGTTGTTGCTGTAACAATTCCCATTCTCTTGCTTTCTATTGTCTGATTTTAATTTCCGTGTAAAATATGTTCATAAAATGCGTATTTTATAGAAAGGTTTTACCATCCCTCAAATAATGGAGTCGGAAGCAGAGCTTGGCGATAGCTATTTGGGGACGGAAATTGGTATTCGTCGAAGATCGACATCTATTTCAGATGATTATTCAGTACAGAAAACAAACGATGATGCTACTGAATGCAAATACATAGCATCTAAAGTAAGTTTACATCTTTCCCCTAAACTTATTGGATCAGCACTTCTTGAAAGTAATCACGTCTTTCTTATGATTTAAAAACTGTTTTTTTTTTTTCGTGGAAATTTAGAAGGATCATTCTGGGAATGTGATCTTTCAAAATGTTTTGAAATTACTACTGCTTTAGAGATCAGTATTATCCATTTCTGGAATGAAGTCAAATTATGTTATTGTTTGGCTAAGCAAATGAAGAGGCTTTGGCTGATCAGATGAAGAGGCTTAGGGGCTTTAAACAAAGTTTTATTCGTAATGTTTTTATAAAGCAAGGATCTTCTCATTTATAACTTTGCATCATTTATTGGCTGACTTTGCTTAAGATGACGTACGCTTACTTCGATGAGGAACTTTCAGCTAAATTATTTCAAAGATGCTTATATCCATCGATTCATATTGGGCGGTGAATGTAATCTTCGTCGTGATCCTGAAATTTCACGTGGTTATTGGGCTAGGATCTCTGCAGTTAAGGCCGTTGTGGATGCATTCTTGAAGGTATGATTAAATTATGTCGTTTCAAGTGGCAAAACGCTTTGTTTTTAGAATTAAGTGCATGTTACAAATTGGTTATAAAATTGCGCCTTGGCCAGAATCGAAAGTAAAAAGGAGAGACGAGATTTTAGAGCAGCAAAATATTTTCGCTGTTTTAGCATTCATTAACTGCATTCTTTTTTTGCTTTCAATAATCTTTTCTTTTTTTAGGAGTTTCCGGAAAAGCGTCAAATTATCAATCTTGGTGCAGGATTTGATACTTTATATTGGCGACTGAAAGAGGAAGGAAAACAGCTCCATCGGTATGTTGAAGTGGATTTTAGTTCTGTCACGACGAAGAAGATTCGACAAATGCGAAGACCTGGCTCACCTAATCTTCTTTCTATGTTTTTGGAAAAGCGTAAGAAATTTCTCTGTTTACTCTGTTTAGGCACAATTAAACCTGAAGCTGAGTTTGAAGTTACACTTATATAAAAACAGATGGTGGATACCATACATACGAGATTTAAAAACTTCTAGAACAATAAAGACGATAAACTAGTGGTTTGCGAGCACTGAAATTTGAACCGTGAGGGTTACTAGAAATTATGTTCCTTTTCCCTGTATTATAATGTTACTTTCAGTTTAACTAGTAAATTAAAAGTTTTAATCAAAGCATATTTTCAAATTAATAGGGTTTATTATTTTTAAATCTGGTAATCCATGTTACAAATAAAAAGGTTAAAGTGGTCTTTGGTCAAGAAAAGAATGGGAACTACTACAATAAGCGGATGAAATTAAGAGCTACTGGTGTCTTTTGCCATTGTAAATCTATTTCAATAAGTTGTTTCTTTAGCAAAAGAATTGGAACATTCAGACCTGCATGCAGGTGACTACCATTTGGTTGGTGCGGATTTGAGACAATTAAATGAATTCAAGGAAAAGCTTGACAGTTGTGACTTGAATTACAAAACGCCGACATTGTTTATCGCAGAATGCGTCCTGGTATACATGGGAATAAACCAAAGTGACGAACTTTTGTCAGCATGTGTCAGATGGTTTGAGAATGCTTTTTTCTTGAATTACGAGCAGGTCTGTTTTCCTCCTCAAGATTTGGATCTTTACCATCCTTCGACAGTGCATATTCATGATTACTGTTGAACAGTGGTCGAATTTTACGTTTTTTAGAGATTTTTCAGGAAAAAAAATGGAGCATCTCAAATTTTTAATCTTTCACTTTAAATTCAGGTGAATATAAATGACACATTTGGCAAAATTATGGTATCAAACCTTCATGGACGTGGTATAATTTTGCCAGGTCTTGCCGCTTGTGAAAATTTAAATGCCCAGAAAAAACGGTTAGTACTTCGTAATGGGTTCATGACAAATAATAAAAAAGATACTGTCTTAGTCATATGTGTTTTGTTTTGCTTTTATTTCTTATCGTTGTTTGTACTTCGTGCTATTTTTGGTTTTTTTT